GGAGGAGGGGAGGGCTGTGCCATGACGGATGAGGAATGGGTGAGGTGCAAGGGGAGAGAGTTCAGCCCTGACAGAGTTTCTGCAGGGCTATCCTGCAGGGAAGGAGGCACAGTTGGAGGTGGGTGTAGGAGGGGTGCGTCCAGGGGACAGAGCCCAGATCAACTTGTGGGAAGGAAGGGAGACAGATTCTAACCCAGCTTGTTAGAACTTTCTAAATGCCAAAGCTGCCTCAACACAGTGCAGGGACTGCAGGAGTGAACCACCCATCCCTAGAGGCATGCAAGACAATGATGACTTGGCAAAGGGCTTAAGGTGAGTCTTGAGCATTGAAGAGGGGATCTGTCTAGATAACAGATTTTCAAGCTCTGTTTTGGAAAAGGATCCCTTTCTTTCCAGATGAAAGTGTGTAAAACAAGCAAAATGAATTCCTCTGAGTGACAGGAGATGGCCCAGGGATTCCTGAACACTGAGGCAGAAGGCCTGGACAAGGGGATTGGGAGGCCTCGCCTGCCCTGGCGGTCTCATCCATCAGCAGGAGCTGCAAGGGATCCAGGCTACCCTTCTCAGAGACAGCAAAGGTACGCTGTCCTCCCCCTGCCCACTGCTGGGCTCTCTCCCAGGAACTCAGAGAGCTGGGGCCTGTGTCCACCAGGGCCCCGCACCCCACTGCGTGTCCCCTTCTGGGCCAGTCCTGGTCGGAGATATAAGATGGACCTGCTGCCTTGGCCCTATCCCTTGGACTCTGAGAAGCCTTCCTGTGCAATGAGGCTTGGCTGAAGGTGGAAGGAGGGAGGACGCGGTGGGAGGAGACCCAGTTCCTGTTCGGAATTGCCACTCGCTCTCTGTGTGCCAGCATAAGTCACTTCCTTTCTCTGGGCCTCAGTTGCCCCATCTATCAGCTTTTGCTTCCCAAATTGTCTCTCCCATCTCAGAAACAGGCAGTTTATTCCCCCACTTCCAGCCTGGGAGTCTTTCTCTCACATTCCAGCTCTACTCATGCCCCACGTGTGTGAGTGGTCCTTACGGAATCCATCCTGGCTCCCACTCTGCCTGGGCCCTGACTTCTCGGCCCTGGAGTAGTCCGGGACCTCCTCTCTGGTCCCTTTGCTTCCAGCCTTGCCCCTACAGTCCATGCACCTCTCAGGTCATACCCCTCCACGGCTCATTTTGGACCAGTGCCTCCCCATCTCCCTCGGAGTGAAGGCACAACTCTTCCCTGTGGCCCTTTCTCTCTGATCCTCTTCACTACTCTGTCCCCCAAACTTGCCTCACTGCTCCTCTGACACACTCTGGTGCTGCTGTTCCCACTGCCTGGAATTCTCTCCCCTATAGCTTAGCGGCATCTTCATGTCACTCCTGTCCCCATGCAAATGTCACCTTCTCAGAGGTACCCTCTCTGACCACTTGTCTGAGCGGCATTCCCCCCCTCACACTCTGCCCTGCATCCTGCTTCCTTCTTCCTCTTGGCACTTATTGTAGAATCATATGCTCATTTCTTTACTCTCTGTCTCTCTCTGAGAAGAAAAGCTCCAGAAAGAACTCCCTCTTGTTCACTTCTGTGGCCCCAGCGACTAGAACAGAGCCTGGCACATAGTAGGTGCTCAATTAATATTTGTTGAGTGAGTGATAAAAAGCTCTGTTTCTTGGGAGTACCCTAGGCCAGTGATGGCGAACTTATGACACGCGTGTCAGAGGTGACACGCGAACTCATTTTGTTGGTTGATTTTTCTTTGTTAAATGGCATTTAAATATATAAAATAAATATCAAAAATATAAGTCTTTGTTTTACTATGGTTGCAAATATCAAAAAATTTCTATATGTGACATGGCACCAGAGTTAAGTTAGGGTTTTTCAAAATGCTGACACGCCGAGGTCAAAAGGTTCGCCATCACTGCCCTAGGCCCTGTGTCTCAGTGGAACATTGACATCCCACCTATTCAACTGTCTCTGGATTTCACACATTGTTGAAATCAGAGAATGAAAGGCAGACAGTCAGTGGTTCTCAACCTTCCTAATGCCGCGACCCTTTAATACAGTTCCTCATGTTGTGGTGACCCCCAACCATAAAATTATTTTTGTTGCTACTTCATAACTGTAATTTTGCTACTGTTATGAATCGTAATGTAAATATCTGATATGCAGGATGTATTTTCAGGGGTCGCAACCCACAGGTTGAGAACCGCTGGAATGAAGCCAGGAGTCAGGGGGATAAAATACAAGATCCAAGATAAGAAATCTCTCCGGAGACCCACCACCCTGCATGGGGCCAGCTCCCAGAACCACTCCCCAGCCTTAGTCCTGCCCCACCTGCCCTGCCCACACCCTCCCACAGAGGCTGCCCGCACCCACCAGGGCGCCAGGAGGAGGCAGGCTGAATAAAAGGGCTGCTGTCAGCAGCTGCGGATTGGGCTCCTCAAGGTTAGGCCGGCCTTATCAGTGCCCGGCGCGAGCTCAGTCACGGAATGATGTTTTCCAAATGTTTGCTCAGTATTAGCAGGGTCGGGGACCTAATGTAACTCCTATTGAATATTAACCAACCTGGGCAGAGGCAGAGAGGAGGATGAGCTTGTCTTCTCAGAGAACCCCTGGATGGGGGCTACTAGGGGCTGAGCTGAGGTTCCAAGAAAGGGCCCACCACCAACCCACACCTCCTGCACACCTGCCTGCTTCCTGGTTCTAGGTGTCTAATTCCAGGAGCCTGCATTTGTCCTAGGACCACCAAGTAAGTGTCGGGTTATAGGAAAGAAGTCCCGACCTACTGTTAGGCCCCCTGGTCCCCAGGTTTCTCTCCAGAAAAACTTGCCACTCAGGCAACTCACTTTTGGCCACCATGGAATAAGCTCTGGCCAAGACTTACGGGTCTCTGAGATTCAGAGCCCTTCCCTGGGGTCAAGAGGAACTTTCAGGGATCTAGGCCCAAGATGATTCCCACGCTGGTCCCTCCCAGTTTCAATCCTGGGAGCTTGGTACCTGCCCAGCTCTGGGAGCCTGAGTTCTAGTCCTGACTCCACCCTTGAGTCAATCATGTCACTTCTCTTGTCTCAATTTCCCCATCTGTAAAGTGTATGAAGAAGTAGATTTGATAGCCTCATATACACCTGTCTTGTCTATAAATTTTGTTTGCAGCCCATGTCTTCCTGTCTAGTCTATAAATTTTGTTTGCAGCTCATTTAAAAAAATATATGTCAAGTACACAACATTATAATTTGACATCTGTATACTCTGCAAAGTGAGCTTCCTCAAAAGTCTAGTGACTATCCATCACCATACAATTCACCTTTCAGGGCTACTTTTGGGTTTAAATGACTGAATTCTGCTAAGACCATCAAGAAAGAAAAATGAAAACTTGTCCCAGCTCTTCTGATCCCTGTGGCTTCCAAGAATTTCTCTTGGCTTTGGGAAGTTCTTACCAGGCTATAAAACTTAGACAGAACTAGTAATATCCTTACTTCCCAGAGCTTGACCACAGTGGCAACTGAACACTTTGCTACCCTGGCCTATTCTCAAAGCAACCAAGGGACACGAGCACATGTCACAATCTTAACCCAGGTGTGTAAATAAGCACCAACATTTACTCGCCTACACTGACTTGCCATCAGCCAATCCTCCTATCCTCCTGACATGATGCCACCTTCTCTGAGCCAAGAAGCAATTTTCAAGGCTAAGCAAGGGCAGAATTGCCTGGTGCTCCCACTCCCCTTCTAGGAGCCAGGATGTGGGCCTGTGCCTCCTTGGCAGCTGAGGGGGAAGGCCGGGAAACAAACACACAAGTCTCAGTGCCTGTGGTGAGGCTCACAAAGCTGGGAGGGACCACTACCAACCCCCTCATCTTATAGAGTCCAGAAGGGGCCGAAACTTCCCTGAAGTGACACATGGGAAAATGACTGAATGCTTAACAAGAGACACATACAATGGCAGATCAAAGCTGGACCAGGCCACATACAGCCCAGGAAGGCTGCTCACCTTCTCCCACCTGCCTGTCACAAGGCCTGCGATTTTAACACGAGAGATTCATTCTCTTGAACCTAAAATCGTGACTGTGGGGTAATAGAATCACTGACTATTAGAACCATAGACTCTTAGGCCCTGAGACTATAGTTCTCAATCTTCCTCTTGTCACCAGCTCTTCATACATACAGGGGTGGGCAAAAGTAGGTTTACAGTTGTAGGTACGCAAAACAGTTTATTTTTGTATTGTTATCTATGATTGTATTACTACTACTACTACTACTACTACTACTACTACTATTAACCTACTTTTGCCTGCCTCTGTATATCACATCCCCATCTGCAGCATTTCTCATTCCACAGAGTGGTTCCCAACTTGGAGGTGAGAGTGGGTGAGAGAGGCTCCACACCACCGAACACCAGGCAGGGAGAGGTGGGGGGCATTCGTCCTCTGCAAAAGCTCCTGCCCCACTTTGAGAACCACTGAGGTCTGGATGCTAGAATGATGTTGAGAGCAGGAGGGGGCTACTCCTTCATAGGGTGAGCAGGCTCAGGTTTGCCACAGGACTCATGAGCTCACGCCAAGGCCCTATTAGGATGAGTCACAGAAGACCATTCCTAGGGAGGGAGCAGAGAAAACAAGGTCTCAGAGGCAAAGATGGGGAGGGGAGGTGACCACAGCCGAGCTCCTCTCCCCATTAGGCTCAGCAGGCTGGGTCCCAGGTTCCCGCTGTGGGGTGGGATGGGGGTAGGAGGTGTGCAGCACTAGACCAGAGGTCTAGCTGTGAGCTAGAAGTGAAGGCCTGGGGGCTAGTCCTAGAGCTGGGAAGTGTGAGTTGAGAGTAGAAAAAGATGAAGAGATTTGAAAATGGAAAGTTATTTTTAGAAGCAGTTAAACGATTTTTGCTTCCTGAGCTTGGGTTGAGTGTTCCTGAGGTATGGAGGGCATAAAGCAAGCAACATGGAGGTGTCGTCCAAATAGCCTGAACTTACGTTCAAAGCTCTGGATTCAAACCCCACATTCTGCATTGACCAGCTCTGGGGCCTTCAACAAGTTGCTGAGCCATTCTGGCCTCCATTCCTTCATCTATAATAATAGTGCCACCACAATGCCCTAACTGGTTTGGCTCAGTGGATAGAGCGTCGGCCTGCGGACTCAAGGGTCCCAGGTTCGATTCTGGTCAAGGGCATGTACCTTGGTTGTGGGCACATCCCCAGTAGGGAGTGTGCAGGAGGCAGCTGATTGACGTTTCTCTCTCATCGATGTTTCTAACTCCCTATTTCTCTCCCTTCCTCTCTGTAAAAAATCAATAAAATATATTTTTTTAAAAAGAAAGAATAATAGTACCACCACACACAGTTGTCATAAGAACAAAAGGAACTATCCATCATGGAAAAGCCCAGCCCAATGATTGGTGTCTGCTGGTATCAGGAGGCCTGGAGAGACCTCAATCAATGCACTGCGTCTTCCCCTTCTCCACTCCCCAGGACAAGTCCAGTGTCCTGCTCCCATTCCCTAGGATGGCAAAACTTGGACTCACCTGATACTCAAGCATGACGACTAAGGAACTGGGCACTTGTCCCTGGGACAGGAAGCTCAGGAGCAGAGCACCCCCCCCCCCCATATTTGCTGAGTCTGGGTAGTACATGGACATTTGCAATATCATTCTCTAGTCTAGACCTTTCTTAATGTTTGAAATAGTAAAGAAAAAACACCGGACTTGGCTGCCTTGTGGTGGAGAAGGCAGGCAGGGGTGGTGGTGGCTGGGAACCCGCACAGACACAGTGGGAGCTTATCTTTTCGAATCGTTCTCAAGACCAAGCCCAGCCCCTCCCTATGGTCAGATTTCTAGGCCCTTCCTTCTCTCAGCCATTAGTCAGTCACCCTGGGGCCTGTTCCTGAGTCATAAAGCTGTGTCCCCAGTTGTAAACGACTGTGGGGAGCTGTGGTGCGGGTGGGGCAGTGGTGGCAGGGGGAGGGCCGAAGCTCACCTTCCTTCTTCATGCCAGCCCGGAAGCACTTCTTGAGCCTGCAGTAGCGGCACTGGTTCCTCTTGTCTTTGTCCACCACGCACTGCCGACTAAATCTGGGGAGGGCTTTGGATGGTTGGATGGAAAAGGGACAGCCCTCCCGCCCTCGAGATTGAACTAGAACCCTGGCCATCTGGTTGATCCCCAGCCTCTTTGCTGCAACTAACCCTTCATCCCAGAAGTTCTCATGTTAACCATAAAAGCTCAATGGAGTCCAACCCTATCTTATTAAATGTAGGGAAACTGAGGCTCAGAGAGGCAACCCGTAGACCTGGATCACTCAGCCTGAGGTAGAGCCAGGTTGGGAACCCTAGTCCCTTGAGTATCAAAGCACCACTCTTTCCACCACATCCTACTAGTATGAGAGCTCGGAGGCCAGAGCAGGCTCCTGGTTATAGCTAACGGTCAATATGCGGTCCACTAAGCCAGAGATATAAGTAGAGGCAGTGCCTCACAGTGGCTAAGGGTGGGGCCCTGAGTATCAACCTGGGCTCTGCCATTGATTTGAGCTGGGTGACCTTGAACAAATTCCAAGCCCCCTCCATGCCACAGCTTCCTCCTCTATAAAATAGGAATAATAATAGTAACCACCTCAGAGGGGCGTTGACAGGGGGAAATAATACACGGATGGAGCCTGGCACAGTACCCACACATGGCAAATGCTCCCAACCGATGGCTATTGTTTTATTATTGCTGTCACGCAGATGCTTTTAAAGGAGGGATCTCCAAGGCTTTAGGAAGCCCTTGGGGCAGGTGGAAAGGCCTGGGGCCAATCTCCTATCTGCCCTAGAAAAAGCACCAGTTTGGGGGTTGGGCCCCATCCTCAGAGGCTTGATCCTAAGCCTCATGGGTCCTTATTTGCTAAGTGGGGAAATAACAGTGGGTGAGTGGACTTAGTATGGTTCCTGCATATAGTAAGGGCTCAATAAAGGGCAGCGATAGCTTTCTGATCCGTGAATGAGTTTCCTAGGATGGCTGTTCCCATCTGGAACCACCAGGCCTAGGAAACCAGAGGAGGCTTGAAGACCTAGAAGGGCGGATGCCTCTGGGGCCTAGTAGGGAGATGACAGACCCTGGGGAACATTGGCCCAAGTGTGCCTATTTCCCAGCTGGAGAAATCAAGACCCCGAGCAAGCGAGCGGGCTCCGCACCTGCAGGAGTACATGTGGTTCTTTCTCACGCTCCTCCGGAAGAAGCCCTTGCAGCCATCACAGCTTGAGGCGCCGTAGTGTTTGCCTGTGGCCCGGTCTCCACAGATGGCGCACAGGGCACTGACACCGAGGTTGTTGGTCGCGTTGAGGTTAGCACCTTCTGAGGGGGATGTGTCTGCACGAGAAGAAAAAAGAGGAGGACTCAGAAGCGCAGAAAGTCACCTCCTGGAGGCCCTGTTTTTCTGGTGGTTTAAATTTACAAACCAGTATGAATGTTGTGGGGAGCTCCCCAGGGCTTCAGCCTCAGCCAGAATGCCATGCCGTCCCCACTCCCTCAGTGACCTTGGACAAGCCCCTTGGCCATTTGGAACCCCTGTTTGGCATCTCTAACTTAGGTATCATTGTGACAGTGACTTCACAGAGTTGTTTGTGAGAGTCTGCTCCCCTCATGATGGAGACTGCTAGCCCAGCTTTCTCTGGGAAGTAATGAAAACTTGGCCACACTCTAGGATGCTTCCAGCCCTTATAGACCCTGATTGACTGGGCATAGAGGGCTGTGGAAGGGACAAATATTGCAGTGTCTGCCCAGAACCAGGTCTTGCCATTTATTTCTTATTGAGTGACCATGGCTAGGTGGGTCTCAGCTTAGTGTCCAGGGGCCCTGACAAGCCTCCTGGGAAATAAGAAGACATGCACCAAGGACTGTGGCTCGTTTGCCCTCCCGGGAGGGTCATGACAAGGAAATGTGCACCCCTCAAATACCTCTTGTCCCAGGGGCAAAAGCTGCTGCATCTACATAAATGTGAGGAGGCGTAAAAGAGGCAGGTGACAAAGATCTTGGATTGGATGCTGGGGTCTCTGGTGCTAGTACTGATGCTGCCACTAATTCGCCTGTGACCTTGGGCAAGTTTGTTTCCTTGCTTCAATTTCCCCGGGGCCTCAGTTTCCCTGAATGTAAACAGGGCAGTTCTACTGTTCTAATGGTTTTCAATTATTTTTTTAAAAATTCAGTAGCCGAACCCTCTTTTTATAAGCAAATCTTCCACCAAGGATAGACCTCTTGGAGGCGATGATAAACACTATGTCCCATCTCCCCTGAAGAGTGCATGCATGTGCACAGCACACGAAGCCGTAACACACTGTTCTCATAGAACCCTGAGGCCGACCTTGAATTCCTAGGGAACAACCAGTTAAGCACTGGAGAGGGGCATGGCGCTGCGGTAAGACCACAAAGTCTGGAGCCCTTTGCCCAGTTAGAATCCCAGCTTGCCCACCTCTTGCTGGTAGCCCTGTGACCTTGGCTGAATTAATTAACTTCTCGCCTTCCTTTCCTCAGTTGTAAAATAGGAGGAAAATGCCCTAAGGCTGTTGTGTGTTGTGGTGATTAGTCAAGTGTTCGTCACAGAATAAGCACGATATCAGCATTTGTGAAAGAACTTTTCTGCAGAAGAAAACTCTCAAGAGCACAAGACTTCCCGCCTCCATGTGCGAGCAGACTCCGCTGCATTTCATCCTGCCGTCACCTGGCTGAACATCTCCTAGTCTCCCGAGGGTGCCCAAGAGTGCGGCCCCCTCCACTTGGTGAATTATTCCTGGAGATGGGGATAATTGTTAAGCCGTGCTGGTGCCCTTTCTCCCTCAGCCTCGCCTCCCCAGACCCCTGGGAAGAGCTGACCCCACAATTTCTGGCCATTCAGGAGGAGGCTGGGGGAAGGGGTGCCCACATCCTGGGCAGGATGGGCTGGGTGTTGCCAAGTATATCGTCTCATCCCTGGAGTCAGCCCCATTCTCCAAGTGAGAACACCAAGGCCCAGAGAGGACAAGTGGCTTGCCCAGGGTCATCACACTGCTGGGAAGTAGAGGAGTCAGATATATGGCCCAGGGGTGCTGGGTGATTCTGGCCATTGCTGCCCTTGTTGGGGTGTCTACTGGGGTCTCTGCAGCAAGGAACCCCTGTTGCTTTTGGTTCTGAATCTGAGATGGGGACAGATGGGGAGCTATCCTTGGAGCCTTGGAGCTACCAGCCCAGGATGTATGCCAAACATAACCCCAACTCTCAGACCACTTCAAACTCTAGTAAAGAATGTAAACCCTTCTTATAGGCGTTCAGAGTTCCTGAGAGGACTCAGGTGGGGCCAGGACCAGTTACCAGTGCTAAGATATTAAGTACCTTATCTTATTTCATCCTCTGGTAAGCCCTGGGGTGGGTGCTATTATTTATTCCCATTTTACAGATGAAGAAACAGGTTGCAACAGGAAAGAATCTATGCCAGAATTTGAGCCCTAATCTTTCTGGCTCCAGGGCAGGAGGCTGCCTGTCTTCAGGTCACCCAATCAAGGGGCTTGGCTCTGCCTCGGGAGCACAGGATTCCTGGGAGCTGGAGGCATGCGCTCTGCAAAGTAGATGGCACCAACCCCAGGGAGCAGCCTGGGGCTGGGTTGTGGCCAGGAGTGTGACAGCACACATTGTCCTTTTGGGGTCACATGGCACCCACCTAGGGCAGCAGCTCCTTAGTTTACCATTTCCTGCATGTTTGTCCCTCAGTTCCTCACATGACCCTTGGATACTCCTAAAAGCTGGCCAGCAAGCAGACTTGGGGTGATTAAGCCCATTTTGTAGAAGAGACCAGGAGAAGAGGGGTGACATGCAGGTCATACAGTAAGTGGATGGCAGAGACAGGTGAGCAGTTGGTGAGACTGACTATGGACAGTGCCCACTGACCACAGGCAGAGCAGTCGCCTTTTTCCAGCTGAGCCAAACTGACCACAAGCCTTAGAGGCCTGGGCTGAAGCCACAGAGCCGGGGCAGGAAGGCAGGTGGCAGGCTGGCCTCGGCTGGCTGCCACCCACTTCTCCACCGAGGCTGACTTGCCACCAGTTAGGGACCTTTCTCTCCAGAAACTTCCTGGCTTTCAAGTCCCTTTCCTCCCCCAACCTCCTTGTGAAGGAGAACACTCCCCCCTCAGATGGCTCTCGGTGATTATAAACCTGGAGAGACACATACAAGCAATAAGATCTGCTCAAAGACAAATGGACATGTTGCTGATAAGAATCTCATTTGGTGAATGGCAACGTCAAAATTCTGCACATCATGTCTGCATAATCGTGCCCACCGAACAGCACCGGCCCCCAGGGCAAGGATGTGCACATATCCACAAGCAGGTACACACAGGGCACGAGTCAGAATGCCCATGCAGGAAACACAGGGCACACAAACAAACCCACATCCATGGTACATGTGTGCAAACATCCACAGTCACATGTACACACTCACCGCCACTTCCGTACATAAGACAAACACAGGCACCTCTAGAAACACCAACCAACACAAACCCACTCAATGTACAAACACAAACGAAAATGGACACAGAACAGGTGCACACAGACAAATGTGCACAAAGATGCAAATGGTTTCTGTGGGCACACAGTTGCCAACCCAGTATATCACCTCCCACCCACTTACAGGGGAACTCATGCGCGCGCACCACACCAAGAAGAGGCCATGATCACACACACACACACACACACACACACACACACACACACACACACTACTAACTGGTGTCTCATTTAGCAAAACTTCCCTGAGAGCTCCACTTTCTCTAAGTGGGGCATTCACCCCAGGAAAGTCTCAAAGACACCCTGAAACACAGGGCGCCTCCATCTACCGTCTCCAGGGACTGGACGTGCCTTTCCATCTCCCCGGACCTAGGCCCACGGGATTCAGGAAGGGGCCATGTTGGACCCAATTACTAGGGCTGGATGGGAAGAAGGAGCTCACCATCACGTCCCTGCTCCCAGTGACGCGCTGAGCAGGATGGTTTTGAGGTACGAGGGACTGGAAGGGCCTGACAGGGATTCCTGGGGCCACTTTTGCTGGGGATATGCTCTTGCAGGCCTCCCCTGGCCCAGAATGCCTCTGGTCACTGTGCTGGGCACATTTCCTTTCCCTGGCAACGCCCGTACTGGCCTATCAGACCAACCTGGCCATCGTCTATCATTCTCCTCCCAACCCCAAACTGAGTGCCGGAGACCTGCTCCCACACCTGGGCACACCTGCCCCCAACTGGCATTCCTGGGCACACGTGCCTCCACCTACCATTGCCCATCGTCAACACCTGCACATTCTCAAATTCCAGGGTGGTGTAGGCTGGGTCCAGCGCAGCACTGTAGTCGGCCATGTCCATGTCGACCAGGGTTTTGGAGAGGCGCATCCTCCCCCTCCACTCCTCAGTCACTTGCCCTGCCCAGGATGCCCACCCGGAAGGCTCCAGGCCGAGCCGGCCCCCGCCCTTCACCCTCCCCCTGCCTCCTCCCAGGTGCACTCTCTGCCTTCCTGCCTTTCAAACTGTCCTCTGGGAGGATCTCCCGGAGTCTGGGCCTAGCCTCCCAGAAGGGGTGGAGGCTCTGCCAGGGAGGGGTGGGGGTTAATGGTTAATCGGCTCCCCCACTGGTGGATAGTCTGGGCGGGGCTGCAGGGATTTGGCTGTTTGTTGGTTTCTGCCTGACACCAGGGGTGCTACTACAACTGGTGGGGCCTTACTCACCAATATTCAGTTATTGATTCTGCAAGATGGAGAGGCTAACTCATCAGCACTCATTTGACCCCCTGACTCAGCCACCCGCCAAGTCATTGTCACTCCAAGTCAGGCATTCTAGCTGATATGCTGGGACGCTGAGAGCCACCACCAAGGGGCCCTAATTCAATGACTTCCCAAATCATTGACTTTTACCCTTAATGCTCTTACAGATAAGCTGCCTCATGGCTCATGAATTAAAAACCCAAATCCCAGGCCAGATGCCAATCTTCTGGATCCTCGTCCTGGGAGCTTCCTTCCCATTTCCTACTTCCTTTAGGGGCAGAATGGATAGGCAGTTTGGTAGGGCCAGACTCACCTCTGGTTCCACTCCCCTGCTCCCCAGCACCCCACTCTGGCCACCATAGCTCCACAGCGCCCAGCTGCTCAGGCCCAGACCACCTCCATCTCCCATTTCCCTGTCACAGCCTCCTGGTTCCCTCCCTCCCTCGCCCCAGAACAGGCAGAGACAAGGCTTGCAGCCCCACAGGCCTGGGTTTACAGTCAGAAACCTACCGCCTACTAATCGTGACCTTGGGCAAATTATTTTGGGTGAAATACATTTTGTAGAGGAGGAAACTGAGACTCAATCAAGTGCCAGGGTGGTCTGAGTGTTAAGTGAGATGGCATTTAAAATGCACCAAACGGTGCCTAGCAAGTATCCTTCCCTTCTGCTCCCTGACACCCCTTCTTGTCTCCCTCATTCCTCTCCACCGTCTCCTGCCTTTGGAGTGGGCATTGTGGGAATGCCACCTGAGCAGCTGCACACTGGGGTCTTGGGCTTGGTTTAATGCTCTGCTGTTGCTGAAATTCTTAATAATTTCTGAACATAGGGCCCTGCCTTTTCATTTTGGACTGGGCCCTGGACATGGTGCAGCTGGTCCTGTCCGCCTTTAGCTCATGGCTCATCCATTTCTCCTCATACCTCCAGTCCTCATTGCCCTCTCCACAGACACTTCCATGAGCTCCCAATCTAGCTGGAGAGGTAAGGTTGCAAAGTGAAAGGTAGAAATCACTGGGCAGAGGTAGAAGGACCGAGGCTTGGTGGCCTGGGAGCCTGTCCTCTTTCAGCTGAAAGGACTAAGGTGGCAGGATTTGTTAAAACAGTAAGCAAGAGTGGGTGAATTAGTGAGAGTAGGTGAATTGGTGAGTGAACTAATGAGTGGGTGGGTGAATGAGTGAGTGAATTTGCCCAGCCAGTGTGGCTCAGTGGTTGAGCATCTTCCCATGAACCAGGAGGTCACGGTTCCATTCCAAGTCAGGGCCGGTGCCTGGGTTTCAGGCTTAATCCACAGTAGGGGGCATGCAGGAGGCAGCTACCAATGATTCTCTCTCATCATTGATATTTCTCTCTCTCTTTTCCTCTCTCTGAAATCAATAAAAAGAAAAAAAAAAGAGTGAGTGATTACAGACAGGGTGAATTCATGTGTGAATGAGTGAATTAATGAGTGGGTAAATTAGTGAACTAATGAGTAAATGAGTAAATAGATGGATGAATTAATGCGTAGGCAAATCAGTGGGAGAGGCGGTGTATGTTTGAGGGGGGTGTGGAGGCACCCTCCTCATATTCTTTCAATTATTAAAAGCCTTCTCTCTGCCCTGCGTAGCTTTGTTCTCCCAGAGCTGAGATAAGTGGGGTGGGAGGTGGGGAGAGCAATTGTTCAGAAGGAGAAGAGAGGCTGGATTTGTGGTCGAGAGACCTGAGTTTAGGAATTAGCTCTGTCACCATTCAGATAACTTTGTTTAAATCACATCTCTCTCAGGGTCTCAATTTCCCTCTCTGTAGAATGGGGAGCAGATCCTGGCCCATTTGTTATATCAGGATAAGAACCCAAGGGAGGGAGAGAGTGCTCCCCGCCACATCCCACACTTTGAGATTCCATAAGGGCCTGAAGAAGAAGATTTCAACTACTGGTGGGTCCCCCCGACCCCCAGGGACATCTGATCCTGACTCCAGTGGCCTTGGGGGCGGTGCTGAGCTGGGCTGGAGACCTGACTAAGGGATAAGCACAAAGGGGAAGGAGGGGCAGCTCTGGGGGGGTGCCTCCAAGGGCTGACTCCAGGTCCTGCCACCTGTCTGGCACCTGTGACAAGACACACACAGCTACTCCTCTCATAATCTAGCAATACATGCTACACATAGAGGCACATTCCAGTCTTTCCAACTTGCCAGGCACGATGGCTCCCGCAAAGAAGGGTGGCGAGAAGAAGAAGGGCCGCTCCGCCATCAACGAGGTGGTGAGCAGGGAGTACACTATCAACATCCACAAGCGCATCCATCGCGTGGGTTTCAAGAGGCGTGTCCCTTGGGCACTCAAGGAGACCTGGGAATTTGCCATGAAGGAGACGGGGACTCCAGACGTGTGCATTGAGGCCAGGCTGAACAAAGCTGTCTGGCCAAAGGAATAAGGAATGGCCCATATCGTATCCGGGTACGTTTGTCCAGAAAACGTAATGAGGATGAATACCTTGGTCGCCAGTGTGACCAGTGGGTCAAGAGTCAACTGTGTACCTTGGTCGCTTATGTACCTGTCACCACTTTCAAAAATCTACAGTTAGCCCTGACTGGTTTGGCTCAGTGGATAGAGCGTCGGCCTGCGGACCAAAGGGTCCCGGGTTCGATTCCAGTCAAGGGCATGTACCTTGGTTGTGGGCATATTCCCAGTGCGGGGTGTGCAAGAGGCAGCTGATCGATGTTCCTCTCTCATTGATGTTTCTAACTCTCTATCCCTCTCCCTCGCTGTAAAAAATCAATAAAATATATTTTTAAAAAATCTACAGTTAATGTGGATGACAACTAACTGCTGTTTGTTGAATAAAGTTATGAAACTCACACACACAAAAAAGAGGCACATTCCACATTTCCAAAAGTGGACTGTGATTGTTGGCATGTCAGAGTTTAATTGGTAACAAATATAACAATCTTTCACTCTCTATAGATGACACTTAGATTGAATCCAATAAGGTCTATGATCAACTAGGTTGAGCCATGTCATGCCACTTACATGACCGGTTGCATACAAGAACGACCAGGTAGACAGCCTGCACATGACAAGCAGTATACAAACCATGACATACGCACTCTACCAAATGTACAACATATGACCTACTGTCTATGAGGTACATTCCTGAAACCTATTTCATACCCCAGACATATCCTACCCATCACAATGTACCCAAAAAGTAAATCTACCCACTCCTGAACTATATAACTTATGTAATCCATTACATACATGATTTACCCCACCCTTAGCTGATGCCAAACAATGTATTCTAGATACTTGTTCCTCATCTAAACAACCCACCACCTATAAGATCTACTGGCTCTGTGGTCTCAGGCAAGTTATTATTTTGAAGCCTTGGTTTCTCCTTCGGTAAAATGGGCCTACTTTGTAGTTTCCTGCGACAATTAAATGAGATACTACTATAAGGTTGTTAGTTCCACCTCCAGGCCCCACCCAAACCCCAACCCGTAGGATCAACCACAGATCTTGAAATCAGAAAGACCTGGGTCAAAATCCAGGCACTGCCAGCTTCCCAAACTTTGTGACCGCAGGTTCCTCCTCACTCAGCCTTAGTTTGGCATTAGATAGATGGGTTGACGTGTTCTTCACAGTGACAGTTGGGCTATAATGGCCAAGTGTAGGCAGATAGTGCAATAGTAGCAATTGCTGTCATTGGTGGTTGACTCTTGACCCACTGGTCACATAATCAGGACCCCTGCACAGAAGAGCTCCTAGCGATGGCATGCCCAGCCCTAAGCAAACCCTGGCCTCCACACCATCAACTCAGCAGCCCTCTTTTATTAAAATTTTTATCAGAGCTTATTTGAGCCAAACTACTGACATATACCAGGGATCAAGATCTCAAATGCTCCTCAGCAGCCCTCTTTACCTCTGCCCCGCCCCCTCGGGCCATCAGACCCCAGCTCAACATGCAACAGCTCCCAGGGAATGAATAGCAAAGGCCCTCGGAGCTCGCCCAGAGGACAACCCCATGTTGCAGATGGAGAAACTAAGGCCTCGGGAAGGAAAGGAGGGGGGGCTTTTAGTGATGCCCTGGGTCGCCGGGTGTTGGGGAAGGATGGCTGAGACCAGCTGTGGGCAGGGTGCTCAGGCATCTGGTGTGGACCGTGGCTAAGGGAGCTGCCACTGTGAGCCACATATTCTTCTTTTAAATTATAATAATGGCTAATGTTTCTGGAGAGTCTGTGCTAGACCCAGAGCTGAGAACTTTTCACTGTTCTCCCTTTACAAATGACAAAACAGAGACGCTGGGAGGTGGTGTGACTTGCCTAAGGCCACACAGGTCATGACAAGAGGGGACGTGATCTGAGCTCTAGTCTGACTCCGGAGCTGAGGGCTTCAACCCCTACATGCTGCCTCTGTCCTGGGGCCCCACAAAATAAGCTCAGAATCCTGGCGCACTGGGCTGGCGGGTCCACGGTCCGGGTCCTGCCAGGAGCCCAGAGACCTGAGAAGCGAAGGAGCCTGTCCCCGGCGTGTGCAAGTTCAGGGGCATCCTCCAGAGCCCGGCTCCCCGGGCCGCCTGGCACCTTTGCGTCCCCTGGGTACTCCCCACCTGCTATCTCCTGTTTCTTCTCCCCACCCACCGCTTGTGGTGCGGGAACCAGGGAC